AAAGCCTCCATAGTCCAAGGATGGCGAGCCCAGTGGGACGCAGGTAAGATCGGCAGATGGCTATATAAAATGCAACCCAAGATCCACAAAAAGCCAAACTCATACTCAAATGAAAGGAAAGTTGAAATTGCCGTCTCACGCCTCAGACTCGGTCATAAGAGGCACTATGACAAGGTTTGTCCATCTTGCAATCAGTCTGAATCCGTTGCTCACTTGTTACTGGATTATTCGAATTTTCAAGTTAGACAATAAATATCATATTTGAATGTGTAGAATTTGAATTAATAATTTACTGCATAGATGGTATATTGAGGTTATATTATTATTATTATTTATTTTTTTTAGGTATAAGCGATTCCTTTTCTGCTGCAATGGTAGTTTCGCCTCTGGTGATAAATGTATTCTGAGATATTTAGCCAAACAGAAAGTGTACGAGATGGTAGTTGTTGTAGTCGAGGTTGTTGATTTTCCACATAAGCTGACTGTCGTGGGAGTTGTAGCTTGACAACATCTCAAGGATACCTTGTTCCTGCCTCTTAAATTGCCAACAGTCTTGAGCATATTTCTCCTTCTGGGAATGATAGTCCATGAGCCAGACCCCAAAATTTAAAAAAACGGTACCACCTGGGGTGGCAAAATCTCAGTATGATTTTTTGAAAGTCATATATCCATAGATGAAAAAGAAATTTGAAAGCAATCCGGGACTCACAGCTTAGTGGTAGTAATCCCCACATAAAGGGGGACCCCTGAGTCGAATCCACGGGACTAGATTTCAGGGTAGGGAAAACCAGAAAGTGGAATAACTTTACAAGCAATAGTCATATGGTGAAGTATGGCTACTCAAAATGTTGGTAACCTGATGCACTACATGTTGGTATGTAATATAGCTAATCAGTAGTGTATGACGTAGGTCACCAGAGGTCAAAAGGTCACAAAATTTGACGGAAGCCATTTCTCGTTGCTATGACTGATCACAGTGAATTCTTTTTACAAGAAGTGATAGGCCATATTTAGATTTGTACGTCTTCAGACATGATTTAAAGGTTAAATAGTGTTTCCTGTTGACTTGTGCGCTTGAAGCTAAGGGATTGGCTTGAAATGACTAATGATTTGCGTCGATTCAATAGTACTGATAGAAAAATAATTTTAGCATATGGACGCATGAAATAAGTGACATACTAGTACTCATGGTCGATATCTCTCTCTCTCTCTCTCTCTCTCTCTCTCTCTCTCTCTCTCTCTCTCTCTCTCTCTCTCATACCAATCCCAATGTTTGCCAGGGCTTGTCCGTGTATTGATGCCCAGCTCAATGTTTGCCAGGGCTTGTCCGTGTGTTGAAGCCCAGCTCTATGTTTGCCTGGGCTTGTCCGTGTGTTGATGCCCAGCTCTATGTTTGCCTGGGCTTGTCCGTGTGTTGATGCCCAGCTCAATGTTTGCCAGGGCTTGTCCGTGTGTTGATGCCCAGCTCTATGTTTGTCAGGGCTTGTCCGTGTGTTGATGCCCAGCTCAATGTTTGCCTGGGCTTGTCCGTGTGTTGATGCCCAGCTCTATGTTTGTCAGGGCTTCTCCGTTTGTTGATGCCCAGCCCAATGTTTGCCTGGGCTTGTCCGTGTGTTGATGCCCAGCCCAATGTTTGCCTGGGCTTGTCCGTGTGTTGATGCCCAGCTCAATGTTTGCCAGGGCTTGTCCGTGTGTTGATGCCCAGCTCAATGTTTGCCTGGGCTTGTCCGTGTGTTGATGTCCAGCTCTATGTTTGTCAGGGCTTCTCCGTGTGTTGATGCCCAGCCCAATGTTTGCCTGGGCTTCTCCGTGTGTTGATGCCCAGCTCAATGTTTGCCAGGGCTTGTCCGTGTGTTGATGCCCAGCTCAATGTTTGCCAGGGCTTGTCCGTGTATTGATGCCCAGCTCTATGTTTGCCTGGGCTTGTCCGTGTGTTGATGCCCAGCTCAATGTTTGCCAGGGCTTGTCCGTGTGTTGATGCCCAGCTCTATGTTTGTCAGGGCTTCTCCGTGTGTTGATGTCAAGCTCTATGTTTGCCAGGGCTTCTCCGTGTGTTGATACCCAGCCCAATGTTTGCCAGGGCTTCTCCGTGTGTTGATGCCCAGCTCTATGTTTGCCAGGGCTTGTCCATGTGTTGATGCCCAGCTCAATGTTTGCCAGGGCTCGTCCGTGTGTTGATGCCCAGCTCTATGTTTGTCAGGGCTTCTCCGTGTGTTGATGCCCACTTCTGTGTTTGCCTGGGCTTGTCCGTGTGTTGATGCCCAGCTCAATGTTTGCCAGGGCTTGTCCGTGTGTTGATGCCCAGCCCAATGTTTGCCTGGGCTTGTCCGTGTGTTGATGTCCAGCTCTATGTTTGTCAGGGCTTCTCCGTGTGTTGATGCCCACTTCTGTGTTTGCCTGGGCTTGTCCGTGTGTTGATGCCCAGCCCAATGTTTGCCTGGGCTTGTCCGTGTGTTGATGCCCAGCTCTATGTTTGTCAGGGCTTCTCCGTGTGTTGATGCCCAGCCCAAAGTTTGCCAGGGCTTGTCCGTGTGTTGATGCCCACTTCTGTGTTTGCCTGGGCTTGTCCGTGTGTTGATGCCAACTTCTGTGTTTGCCTGGGCTTGTCCGTGTGTTGATGCCCACTTCTGTGTTTGCCTGGGCTTGTCCGTGTGTTGATGCCCAGCCCAAGTTTTGCCTGGGCTTGTCCGTGTGTTGATGCCCAGCTCTATGTTTGTCAGGGCTTCTCCGTGTGTTGATGCCCAGCCCAAAGTTTGCCAGGGCTTCTCCGTGTGTTGATGCCCACTTCTGTGTTTGTCAGGGCTTGTCCGTGTGTTGATGCCCACTTCTGTGTTTGCCAGGGCTTGTCCGTGTGTTGATGCCCAGCTCAATGTTTGCCAGGGCTTGTCCGTGTGTCGATGTCCAGCTCTATGTTTGCCAGGGCTTGTCCGTGTGTTGATGCCCACTTCTGTGTTTGCCAGGGCTTCTCCGTGTGTTGATGCCCAGCTCTATGTTTGCCTGGGCTTGTCCGTGTGTTGATGCCCAGCTCAATGTTTGCCAGGGCTTGTCCGTGTGTTGATGCCCAGCTCAATGTTTGCCAGGGCTTGTCCGTGTGTTGATGCCCAGCTCAATGTTTGCCAGGGCTTGTCCGTGTGTTGATGCCCAGCTCAATGTTTGCCAGGGCTTGTCCGTGTATTGATGCCCAGCTCTATGTTTGCCAGGGCTTGTCCGTGTGTTGATGCCCAGCTCAATGTTTGCCAGGGCTTGTCCGTGTGTTGATGCCCAGCTCTATGTTTGTCAGGGCTTGTCCGTGTGTTGATGTCAAGCTCTATGTTTGCCAGGGCTTCTCCGTGTGTTGATACCCAGCCCAATGTTTGCCAGGGCTTCTCCGTGTGTTGATGCCCAGCTCTATGTTTGCCAGGGCTTGTCCATGTGTTGATGCCCAGCTCAATGTTTGCCAGGGCTCGTCCGTGTGTTGATGCCCAGCTCTATGTTTGTCAGGGCTTCTCCGTGTGTTGATGCCCACTTCTGTGTTTGCCTGGGCTTGTCCGTGTGTTGATGCCCAGCTCAATGTTTGCCAGGGCTTGTCCGTGTGTTGATGCCCAGCCCAATGTTTGCCTGGGCTTGTCCGTGTGTTGATGTCCAGCTCTATGTTTGTCAGGGCTTCTCCGTGTGTTGATGCCCACTTCTGTGTTTGCCTGGGCTTGTCCGTGTGTTGATGCCCAGCCCAATGTTTGCCTGGGCTTGTCCGTGTGTTGATGCCCAGCTCTATGTTTGTCAGGGCTTCTCCGTGTGTTGATGCCCAGCCCAAAGTTTGCCAGGGCTTGTCCGTGTGTTGATGCCCACTTCTGTGTTTGCCTGGGCTTGTCCGTGTGTTGATGCCCACTTCTGTGTTTGCCTGGGCTTGTCCGTGTGTTGATGCCCACTTCTGTGTTTGCCTGGGCTTGTCCGTGTGTTGATGCCCAGCCCAAGTTTTGCCTGGGCTTGTCCGTGTGTTGATGCCCAGCCCTATGTTTGTCAGGGCTTCTCCGTGTGTTGATGCCCAGCCCAAAGTTTGCCAGGGCTTCTCCGTGTGTTGATGCCCACTTCTGTGTTTGTCAGGGCTTGTCCGTGTGTTGATGCCCACTTCTGTGTTTGCCAGGGCTTGTCCGTGTGTTGATGCCCAGCTCAATGTTTGCCAGGGCTTGTCCGTGTGTCGATGTCCAGCTCTATGTTTGCCAGGGCTTGTCCGTGTGTTGATGCCCACTTCTGTGTTTGCCAGGGCTTCTCCGTGTGTTGATGCCCAGCTCTATGTTTGCCTGGGCTTGTCCGTGTGTTGATGCCCAGCTCAATGTTTGCCAGGGCTTGTCCGTGTGTTGATGCCCAGGTCAATATTTGCCAGGGCTTGTCCGTGTGTTGATGCCCAGCTCAATGTTTGCCAGGGCTTGTCCGTGTGTTGATGTCCAGCTCTATGTTTGTCAGGGCTTCTCCGTGTGTTGATGCCCACTTCTGTGTTTGCCTGGGCTTGTCCGTGTGTTGATGTCAAGCTCTATGTTTGCCAGGGCTTGTCCATGTGTTGATGCCCAGCTCTATGTTTGGCAGGGCTTGTCCGTGTGTTGATGTCAAGCTCTATGTTTGCCAGGGCTTGTCCATGTGTTGATGCCCAGCTCTATGTTTGCCAGGGCTTGTCCGTGTGTTGATGCCCAGCTCTATGTTTGCCTGGGCTTGTCCGTGTGTTGATGTCAAGCTCTATGTTTGCCAGGGCTTGTCCGTGTGTTGATGCCCAGCTCTATGTTTGCCAGGGCTTGTCCGTGTGTTGATGCCCAGCTCTATGTTTGCCTGGGCTTGTCCGTGTGTTGATGTCAAGCTCTATGTTTGCCAGGGCTTGTCCATGTGCTGATGCCCAGCTCTATGTTTGGCAGGGCTTGTCCGTGTGTTGATGCCCAGCTCTATGTTTGCCAGGGCTTGTCCGTGTGTTGATGTCAAGCTCTATGTTTGCCAGGGCTTGTCCGTGTGTTGATGTCAAGCTCTATGTTTGCCAGGGCTTTGATCCAGTCAAGGAGCTTGAGCAGCTCAAGGAAGCAGAGGTCCTGGAGATATACCACAGGTTAGTCACACGAGTCAGTCACACAGGTCAGTTTCAAAGGTCAGACACACAGGTCAGCCACACAGATCAGTTACACAGGTCAGCCACACAGATCGGTCACACAGGTTAGTCAGACAGGTCAGACACACAAGTCAGTCAATTGGACTTACAGAGAAGAAAAGATAGAGACTGTTTCATCTTATAAATATTTGGGACTATTTTTCACTCCTAAATTGCTATGGACAAAAGCAACGGCAACACTTGCACAACGAGCAGAAAAAGTATGTCATTATATCTATAAAATGAACTATCTATGTGGAGGATTACCAATCACTACTGCAATCAAGATGTTCGAATCCATGGTTTTACCAATATTAAGATATGGCTCTGAAGTTTGGGGGTTCCAATACTACGAAACTATAGAGATGGTATAGACTAAATATTACAAACGGATTCTTAACCTACCAAATAATGCAAGCAATGACGCTGTTCTTGGTGAAACTGGAACGATTATATGTGTATTATATTAGTAAATGTATTAAATACTGGACAAAATTAATCTCTATGAACACTGATCGTCTACCGAAGCAAACGTATTTAATGATGTACAAATTAGATGAAGCTGGTCATATATCCTGGGCAACATATATATAAAAAAACATTCTTTTCAAGTATGGATTCGGCTACGCCTGGATAATTCAAGATGTTGGAGATCCACAAATATTCATTTCACAATTCAACGTATCGTGGACTGTGGTCAACAACGTTGGATTGAAAATCTATATCAAAAATCAAAACTTACAACATTTAACTTTCAAATCGGTATTAACAATAGAAATGTACCTTCATTCAGTAAACAAGAAGATCTATCAAGAAACCCTAACAAGATACCGATGCAGCTGCCATAAACTTATGATCGAAACTGGACGTCATACCAATACAGAAGAAAACAAAAGATTTTGCCCACAAGGTCAAAGATTTGACTTCAACTACATTGAAAATGAATATCATTTCCTTCTTATTTGTACTTCATATTCAACACTACGTTTACATTTTATTGATACATATTTTCACACTAATCCATCATATGAAAAATTTGTAAATCTTATGTCTTCTAAATGTAAATACACTATTACACAACTTCCTAAATATATCTATCACGCTTTCAGATTACGCGAGACACTCACAATTCACTGATGTACTATTTATATATTATATTACTTTCATGTATTTATGCATACACTTTATTACATCATGTATGTTCTATGGGCCTATGGCCTGAAACTTGGAGGAAATAAACTCTATAAACAATAACTAGAGTATTGCTGAGTACGGCGTTAAACAACATTCACTCACGTGCGCTTGTTCTGTTTATACACCTCGTCCGGGAGCAACAGATTAATCGGGATTATGTTACATAAGTGAGTAAGTGAGTTGGGTTTAACGCCACTTCAACGAACAGGGTTCCAGTTATATTACGGGATGTCAGATCCACCTACGAGCACGAATATAGGTTTTGACAAACATAGAAACATAATCAGCGCGAATCTGCGATTCGAACCCACAATCATAGGATTCTGGCGTGCCCAAGGGTCGCAACTCTGCACAGCGAATCGCGACGCTTTAGATGACTGGGCCACCCGTGCACCCGAGACCTTATTTCATGTCATAAGTTTCAGAGTACGAGTGGTTTACAATGAACTGTTTCACTTCAGTTACCTGGACAACATTGAATTGCCATGTGACCGTATGCTGCGGGCGGGTCCCCCGGCCGATGAGGGCTGGGAAATTTGTGACGATGAGAGGTTCAGACCCGTCAAGCCTTGCTTGGCTTACTCTTTCGGGTAAGTACCGTCAACGTTGAATCTTTGCCTTTTACACTCAATAGAATCTGATAATCGAGGCTGGTTATTCTCTGGCTTTGACGTTTTGTATTTAATCGTTCTAAAAGGCAGCGTCAGTGTTTAGCTTACTCTTTCGGGAAGGCACATTTAATGTTTAAACCCGTAGTCTCTCTTAGACCCCAAAACATATATTTAATACGATGGTCAACCAATTCAACTGGCATCCTCCTCCATCTTCAGCAGCCATACTCATCCCCTTTTTAGGACCTGAAATTAAGATGGTTCCCAAACTCTCGAGGGTTCACTTATATTGTAATTATGTTTAATCTTAAATACTCTATTTCCGGGACTATCAAGTATCAACAGAGGTTGTTTTTTTCTACGTCTCATTTAGGTTAGCTGTACAGAGTTCGAAATAGGTACGAAACCCTAATGGTACTACTTTGGTACCATAATTTCTTTTTTCAATCGAAAATTCTCATTATTTCAATTATTTTTTCGTTATTTCGATTTCTCTCGTTATTTCGAGTCTATTCTCGATGCTTCGATAATATTTTCGTTACTTCGAATATTTTCTCGTTATTTCAATTATATTCTCGAAATTTCGGGTTTTCTTAATAAAGTTGAAATTACGAGAAAATGATAATAGTAACGGGAATATAATTGAAAATTCGAGTTTTTGAAACAAACTTGAAATAACGAGGAAATAATCGATTTAACGAGTGAAAACTTCGAAATTTCGAAATTGCTTCTCTGTAACGAATGACCCAGTTCTTGAGACCATCAGGAGGAACACACAGTGTTCTTGTCCTTGAAACTGTCATGAAGGTAACTGTGGGGTTTCTGACAGCTGTCAAAATACGGCAGGTGTCTACGGTATTGGCTTGGCGTTTTCCAGGTGTATAAAATCTTTTCTCACTGCCAAACTATTTCAGATTATGTTGTTTGCACGTTTTCCTAGCGACAGACTATATATACTCCATATAGATATGTCGTGCGACGACTACATACAGGCGGATGGTTGGGTGTTCCGTTTTTTATTTCGGAAATTATCAACTTCCCAAGACAAGGGAGTTTCCACGTAAAAGCTGGACTTTTACAGTCAGTTAACTCCCTTGCCTCGGGAAGATGGGAAATGAAGATAATCCGGCCCATAATTCACAAACAATTTACAAACAGTATATTGATGAAAGGCCCGTCTTTTTACGTTCAATTCATTACTATCAATATATATCATCAACCAGTGATGTAATTCATGCCTTAGTGTTTTTCAATTCATTGGTTTATCACACTGAAACCATAAAATGTCTATCCACCTCGTCTCAATGCATGTTGCATGGTACGCAATATTATCGCGGTAGTTAATTAAATTTTATAATGGATCGTGGTCTAGTGGTAGAGCGTCCGCCCGGAGAGCGGAAGGTCCAGGGTTCGATCCCCGGCCGACTGGTACCAAAAGACGTTAAAAGATGGTACTTGTTGTAACCCTGTCTGGCGCTCGGCGTTAAGGGGTTAAACAAGGACTGGTCGGTTCGGAGTCAGTATACTGTGTCTAAGTGGGGTATTCATATTAAACTGCGGCATGTTATCTCAGTGAGCTAGCATTAAAAATCGGCATCAGTCCGGACTAGTACAAGCAACCACACACACTGACATGTACGTCGCTATATAAGTGCAATAATCTTCGACGCGACGTTAAACCCCATTTCACCTCACCTCACCATATTATGTGTTCTGTCTCCTTCAGGTCCCACTGGGGTAAAAGCTTCCAATTTGACCAGGATATAGCACGGCTGTACAACTGTGAAGTGTTTTCTTTTGACCCGACGTAAGATTTTTTTGGATACAATCACAATTACATGTATTTCCTTCATCCGGGTTATAATTGGTTTTCATAACCCATGCCTGTCGTAAGAGGCGACTAACGGGATGGGTGGGCAGGCTCGCTGACTTGGTTGATGCATGTCATCGATCCCAAATGAGTAGATCGATGCACATGATGTCAATCACTGGATTGTCTGGTCCAGACTCGATTATTTACAGACCACCGTCCCATAGCTGGAATATTGCCGAGTGCGGTGTTAAACAACAAACAAATCAACAAACAAAACAAATAAACAAACAAAATCCTACACCAAGCTGACATGCCGTGATATAACGGAATCACTGTTCAAATAAGTACCGACCCGTGAAGATTCCGGGGTAGAATAGGTCTTCAGCAACTCATGCTTGCCGTAAAAGGCGACTATGCTTGTCGTAAAAGGCGACTAACGGGATCGGGTGGTCAGGCTCGCTAACTTGGTTGATGCATGTCATCGATCCGAATTGAGTGGATCGATGCTCATGATATAAATCACTGGATTGTCTGGTCCAGACTCGATTATTTACAGACCGCCGTCATATAGCTGGAATATTGCTGAGTGCGGCGTTAAACAACAAACCAACCAAACCAAATCAAATAAGTGCGCGTCCACTACGTAAAACTTCCTCATGTCCACAGCATGAAGCAGGACAAAGAGGTCAAGGCCAAGTCTGTCCAGTATTTCGACTACGCTCTGGGAAACAATTTAGGTAGAAGCAGCCGTGTGATGACCTTGACGGAGATCAGACATTCACTGCATCACGATGAGGTCAGTCAGTACTCTAAGTGAGTGAGTTTTGTTAAACGCCGCTTTCAACATTATTCCAGTTACATCACGGCGTGTCAGCTTAATGTGGGAGGAAAGCCCGAAGTGATGCAGGTCTCAGACATTTACAACTTCGGTGAAACACACGAGCACGGGTATGGTGCTGACAAACCAAGAAACATAATCGGGGCGAACCGGGATTCGAACCCACAATCATAGGTTTCTGGCGTGCCCAAGGGACGCAACTCTGCACATCGATTCGCGACGCCTTAGACGACCGGGCCACCCCTGCCCCGTCTGTCCTCTTAACTTGACTTCGTTCAATATATTGGGGTAAAATGTGGCCTAGCCGTGAATGGGCTGCTGTTACTCAGCCGTGCCAGGATCTGTTAATCGTAGGTTCGAATCCCGATTCTTTGACAGTCGGCACCCATGTGTGGTCCTGTTAAATGTCTGCGACCTACGTCACTTCCGGTCGTCCTCATATATGAATAAGTCATTGTCGTAAGTTGGCGTTGATTTCATGTACAGGGGCAGAACTTGCGAACGCATATTAGATTTCAAGAAGTTCGAGGTTTTAACTCTAAGGCAGCACATGCAGACCGTTTTACAATTACAATTGACCCGTGAAGATCCGTGATAGAAAAGGTCTCCAGCAACCTATACTTGCTGTAAAAGGCGACTCGGTTTGTCGTACGAGGCGAATAACGGGATCGGGTGGACCCGCGTTCATCCGGGTTAGAATTGGTCTTTACAACCCATGCCTGTCATAAGCAGCGACTAACGGGATCGGGTGGGCAGGCTCGCTGACTTGGTTGATGCATGTCATCGTATCCCAATTGCGTGGATCGATGCACATGATGTCAATCACTGGATTGTCGTGTTCAGACTCGATTATTTCCAGACCGCCGTCATAAAGCTGGATATTGCTGAGTAGGCGTTAAACAAAAAAACAAAACAAAGAAAAAACAACTTTACTTAATTGACGTGCAAAAGTTACAGATTCTCGACGAGAACATGCGGGAAACACCAAATTTAATCCCCCTGTTAATAAAATTGAAATGTGCGACATTGCCGAGGTCGGATTCTATTTATGGAGATAATCATTTAAATTATTTTAATACAGGTAAATATTTTTAAAGCTTTTACATTTTACTGTCATCCTGAAAGAGGCTGTACATAATATTTATCTCTCACATAAGAATTAAGCGACTCGTGGTCGCTGCTTATCTTAAAATAAAACACTGCACTTAGAATGTTTTCTTTATATTCCCGAGGATCGAACTCGCAACCTTCATATATGTAGCCCAGTGACTGTACCGCTAGGTTACAGAGACGTCGATAAGCCGCCCTCCTTTTCAGAATGTTCTTTTTAAGATCCGTACGCCAGCAACAGATATTTTTTATCCCGTTTCCTAAGGTTCATGGAAAGTATGTTCGAAACATAAAAATGTTGATAAATGTTGTTTAAAGTTTCTTTTTCGGTTCATAAGTTAGATAAAACACTTCCCCTTGGGCTATTATAATATTTAAAACCCTTTCCCTCGAAAAATCCCTCGGGGCAAGCCCCTTGGGATGCGGGTTTTAAATATCATAACAACCCTCGGACGTGTTTTATCCTATACATAAATGCTCCCACTCGTCAGTTATTCCTTAATTAAAACATGTGCCTGTAACAAACGGAATAGCGACACATGGCCAATGTCACTGTTTCAGAGGACTATTGACATTATGAGGCTGGATTTGAACGGCAAGGAGTGGAAGGAGATCCGGTACATGATCCAGCACGGAGAGCTCCACCAGGTTCGGCAACTGTTTGTGGAGTACAACACCGACATGAATCCCAGTGCAGGTGAGCTCCTCAAGAGGCTCTACACGCTGAAGGCGATCGACGACGCCGGCTTCAAACGGTTCCACGTCCGCACGAACCAGGAGTGTACGCTCTTCATGAACGGCATCCCCGAAGAGATGTTGAAGAACATAGACACCGGGTGTTACGAAGTGCACTATCTCAACATCCACCTCGAACAATGATCGAGTCCTGACTATGCGCCATGGGGGTGTCTTCTGTTTAGTTCTAAACATTGCTATCAATGCCATGTGCGAAAATGAGGCTGTGTCTGTAATGAGGGTGATTATTGACTGTGAATTCAAATTATGTACATAATAAATATGGAACCAGACAGTTTGAGGGGCTTGGATTAAACTTCTTGGGACTGACAATTGAGCCAAGCAAACCACCCTCAACAACGCATCTGAGACAAATATATACTGGTAACAATAACTGATCAAGGAAATAAAATTTTTTTGACTGTCAATTAGCCTGAGATGAAAGTTCCCATAACAAGTCAAGAGCCCATTCAACAACAAAACTTGTTTGCGCTACGACTGTCGTAAGTCTTTTATAATGTATTGGCGTCCCGATTGTATCACCACGAGGACCGATTGGGATCGGGTATTGTAACCAGCGCTATGTGTGTAATTGAAACAGAGTTATTGTTGACTGCTGGAGACACTTCGATCAAACTTGCAGGGCCTGCTGATTGATCCGAGTGTAGCCCTCCTTTAAGACGTATTTTAATGTTTTTCGACATTTCTTCTGTTTTTTTAGTCTGATTTTTGTCGTGATTTCTTTTACCTGGATCAAGTTTCGTAAATGATTATCTTCTTATTAATTATCTTCCCTAAAATTATTGCTTTTTTAGGGCATCTTAAACTAATATAAATGCTTGCCAGAAAATTTGTGTGACCTTCTGTAAGCTTCTCATGTGAAATGTCTTCTTGAAGGAAAATCCAAACATTCGTTTTATTATTTAATTACAGTCTTTGTCCAGTCCAGGGTGTGGAACGCGTTGTTTTCGGAGTGAGGTTGATTATAGACTGACGATCATAAGAAAGCATTCCGATCAGGTTTTTATCAAAATGACACAAACCACTTACAATTGTTAACGTGGCTTGTTTTAAAGACAATTACTGTTGGGATTAAATATGTACGTGCCCTCTTGGTGTTATGTTTTGGTACACGGAATCTGCGACCAAAAGAGAAAATTCCTGCATCGAATTATTTACAGTTTTGCTGGCACAGTTCTGCTGAACAACAAACACACAACCACATAAAGAGAACATGTATGTCGAAGTTTGTGTGTGTGTTTGTTTTTTAACGCCGCACTCAGCAATATTCATGCAATATGACGGCGGTCTGTAAATAATCAATCTGGACCAGACAATCCAGTGGTTGACATCATGAGCATCGATCCACGCAATTGGGATACGATGACATGCATCAATCAAGTCAGCAAGAATGACCACCCGATCCCGTTAGTGGCCTCTTACGACAAGTCACCTGTTCATGCAAGCATGGATCTTCACGGGTCGTATGTCGAAGTAAGTAATGACAGATCATTTACCAGTTGTACTGAACCCTCCTACCTCGTCATGCAGAGTGACGTAATATGTCACAGTTTGGGCTGAGTGAGTGAGTGAGTATAGCTTTACGCCGCTTTTAGCAATATTCCAGCAATATCACGGCGGGGGACACCAGAAATGGGCTTCACACATTGTACCCATGTCGGAAATCGAACCCGGGTCTTCGTCGTGACGAGCGGACGCTTTAACCAGTAGGCTACCCGACCGCCCCGTTTGGGCTGAGAGTGAGTGAGTTGGATGCACGCCACTTAAAGCAATATTCCAGGAATATCGTGGCGGAGAACACCCAAACGGGGTTCACACATGGAACCAGCGTTGGGAATCGAACCCTGGCCTTCGATGTGACGAGCGACCGTTTTAACCAGTCAGCCACCCATGGTTTCTGGTGCATTCGCGTTGACAAGAATTCACTACACCGGACACCTTCCGCCATTTTGCAAGGGATGTGCACGACCACATTCCTCAGAAACGGTTTCTAAGATTTTAAAAGGCCATTTCTGTCGCCTCCCGAAAATGACAGGGGCTTTGGTTGTGGGGGTGGGGGTGGAGGGGGAGAGATCCGCTGAAATGCGGCTCCGATGGATGTCACTGATTAGGCGACAGGCGACAGACGCTCATGGTTTGTTTCTTGTTTAACGCCTCACACAGCAATATTCCAGCTATATGAAGGCAGTCTGTGAATATAACTGGACCAACAAAACCCAGTGATTGATATCATAAGCATCGATCCACGCAATTGGGATACGATAACAGCATCAACCAAGTCAGCGATCCTGACCACCTGATTTCGTTAGTCGCCTCTCACAAGAATAGTCGCCTTAAACTGTATGAGACCGCCTCCGTGGTCTAGTTGTAGAGCGTCCGCCCGGAAAGTGGAAGGTCCAGGGTTCGATCCCCGGGTGCGTCATACCAAAATACGTTAAAAGATGGTACTTGTTGTTACCCTGTCTGGCGATCAACATTAAGGGGCTAAAACAAATACTGGTAGGCTCGGAGTCAGTATATTGTGTCTGAGTGGGGTATTCATGTTAAACTGCGGCATGGTATCTCAGTGGGCTAGCACTATAACTCGGCATCAGTCCGGACTAGTACAAGCAGCCACACACACACATACGTGCATGCACGTCTCTATATAAGTGCAATAATCTTGGACGCCAAGTTAAACCCAATTTCACCTCATCTCTAACTGTATACTTCTCGGAAAAAAATAAGAACCGTTTCAACCAACTTCCATATAAAATGCGAGCTTTGAACAACAGAAACCTTTTATCTAATGACATATTTTCCGGGACATGGGTTACTGCTCTCTCTCTCTCAGACTACTTCTCTGTAACAAATCTAAATATAATTATAACTGTTTCGTTACGATGTGGTTGAAATATTGCCGATGTGACGTTAAATTTCACTCACCCACTCACTACTGTCCTTCGTTGGCAGGCTTTATATACACTCTTCAAAAAAAGTAACGCACGGGTAGTATGTAGTTCATTGAACCTGACTACACAAAAAAATGGCCAATGTTATTGGAAAATGTTGGCCTTGATATTCGACAAACGGTGCGTCCAATCGCAGCCATTGTCGATTTGCAATGTCTTAAACGGCGGTGTTGTCACGCTTGTTAAAAAAATGTCACGGAGGAAAACAGTAGAGCAAAATGCACGTGCAAGTTATGGCATTCGAAATTCGTGGTAGTGGCTATGAAAAGGCAAGCATAAGTCAATAATTTATCATTCAATTGTCAACATTTTTCAAGTTCGAAAATGCCGAGAAACATCCCCATTGGACGTATCCAAAGAGGGGAATCGCAGTCTTCTGAAGCATGCGACTTCAACGTCCACCACAGCACCATTTGCCGCCTTTGTGACTGATTCACACAGTTCAATTCCACTGCAGACCATCCGAGAACCGGCCGACCAAGAGTTACCACCCCTGCACAAGATAGCTACATTCGACTACGTCATCGCAATGCCACAGCTACGGAGACTGCAGGACGCAGCCCTGGTTTGAGGAGGATATCTGTCCTACACCAAGAGATCGGACTTGGTTGTGGTTCAGAGAAATTTGACAGCAAATCGCTACATGAATCAAATTCTTCAACCGCACGTTCTTCCAATCATTGACAGCCAGAGGGAGCTGTTTCAACAAGACGACGCTCCACCGCACACAGCTCGTGTCACGGTAGACTATCTTCATAATGCCAACATCAACGTTTTGCCCTGGGCGTCGAGATCTCCAGATATCAGCCCAATTGAACACCTCTGGGATGACCTCGATAGACGTTTACGTCAACATCAGACACACCGCAGACACCCCCACAACTGGCCAACGCGTTACAAGCAGAATGGCGCAGAATGCCGCAGGACAGAATTCGTACACTTATCCAGTCGAGGAGATGCAGAGCCGTGATTGCGGCCGGGGCGGTCACACGAGAAACTTAGTTCAGCGCAACCTTGTGGCCTTATGTGACATGACAATGAACAGTTTTCAATGCCTTTGTACAACGACAACATGTGACTATCGAGCTCCAAAACTTCATATTTGTATCTATGATACATTAAATTTATCGACTTTATAAGGTAAAATATATTTACTAAAAATCTACCTTTGCGTTTCTTTTTTTGAAGAGTAAACTTCAAATTTTTATTGAAAACAATCGAAATTTCGAAATTGCTTCTGTATCACATGACCCAGTTCTTGATACCATCAGGAGGAACATAAAATGTTCTTGTTCTTGAAACTGTCTGTCGGGTCTTTGACAGCTGTCCAAATACGACCAAAGTCGAAGGCACGTGCTTGACGTTTTTCAAGGCGAAAACAATCTTTTTTCACTGCCAGACTATTTCAGAGAATGTTGTTTGCACCTTTAACTAGCGACAGACTGTATATACTATATGTAGATATATCGTGCGACAGCTATGTTTGTGTTTTTTGGGGTTTTTTCTATTTCGGATATGTCATCTGCACGCGGCTGTCTGGCATGTCTGGCCCTGAACAATAAACAGCCTCGTTTTGACATCATCGCAGATCCATGTAATATCGCGCTTGAACATTTTAAAAATTACGGCGAAATTTACTTTTTGAAAATATAAAGATAACTCTGTGGGATCACTCACTGAAAGAAAGCAACACCCTTCTCCGTGCTAAACAGCACTCAATGCCCTGCGGCAATTTTTTTCATACGGTTTTACCTGCCATTCGGCAACATTACAATAACAGGCGGTCCAACACAGACAAGCATTACACTAAAAGTCTGATTACCTTTATATGTATATTTTTTAAAATACAAAGAAGACAAAGACAGCTCGCCTGTGTGACGCGAAGGCCTCGAGTGGTGTTTCATACACCTTGCCCTCTCCTCTGCATCTTAAGCACGTGACGCCACCACTTTCACGCGCACAGCCGTCTTACATTCGTTACCGTATTTACCCCCTATTTCACTATGTTCTATTATATTGTTCTATTCACTATGTTCTATTGACAACATACTCCACTCATGGGTAATGCCTACCGCTGTTCGAATTAAAAGAACGGGTCCATGCAGCAGATTTATTTCAACTATTTACAATCCCAACATTGATGACACACTCAACAGTTCAGAAACATTGTCTTTGATATAACCGCCATTGGCCTTATCTGACGCCCAGCTTTCGTGTCTCTTGAAGAGTCTGTCTGTAACTACGGCGTTAGCTGCAGCAGTCGCTCCACCTGACCGAAAACTGCGAAGACCTACTTTTGTGACATCTTCACCAATTAGTTTGAATTTCTCAATAAAGATTTCCCTCGCTCTGGTATATGATAAAGGTTTCTGACCTTTAAGTACATACTTTTGTACAGATTTACAGAAGGAAAGTTGACGAAAAATATATACATTGGAAGTTTCAGCAACATTTCCAGCAATCAGGTACCTGTTTAGCATATTTACTGGACGTAGATCTGAGCCTGTAGCAGCGATCAAAACATGACGCCCATCCCTATAAATGTCAGTTTTACTGTTTTCAACAAAAATACTCATGAAGCCATCCTTGAATTTAATGTTTGACCGCCTGATATTCACTTCAGAAAATCTAAAAAACCCAGCAAAAGATAAAAGTGACATTGTTAAAAACCTTAAATCAAATAGAGAGGGAGTTTTCCCAAATATAACAATCAATTTCTTTAACGTGTCACAAGTAACAGGTTCTTTTTTCTTGACTGGAGTACTACAAGTTCTTAGTGCCGCTTCTCTGATGTTCACAATAAAATCATGTTTACAAGGGTTTGGCAGACATGCAAGTTTGTGCGCCCAACTAATACCGTAAATAGCTTCCATGACAGATGGAGCGTTCTTGCCTCCCTGAACAAGTGATGTAAGATACAAAGCAGCATGAAATGGATGAGGAGGCAAACATGTAATCTCCTATTAATTTTGAAATCCATTGTTTACAGTGAGTGAGTGAGTTGGGTTTAACGCCGTTTTTAACCTTATTGCAGTTATATCGAGGCGTGTCAGCTAAATGTGGAAGGAAAGCCCGAAGTGATGCAGGTCTCTCGTGGCTCCGATGGATGTCACTGATTAGGCGACAGGCGACAGACG